GGCATTTCGCCGGCCGTCTGGCTATTTTTTCCGGCAACACTTACATGACTGATTATGTTTTGACTTAAAATGACTAAAAATACATAGATTACTCGGGACTTGCCGGTTCTATTTTAAAATCACTCGGGAGGGCTTATATAGAACCTCCGAGGTCATTTTACTAAAAGAACTTGGACCGAACAACATGACATCGACATGATCTTACTACTATGAACTTAACTATATAAAAAGAAGGTAAATAGGGCTATACCCTTCAGTTCGGTCGAGGATTGCACGAAGGCTTGCGTGCGGTTTCGGTGCTTGAACGTGTGCGTACTCGCTTCTCCTTTGCTTCGGCCTTGATTAACTAATTTTGTATGATTTTTCTATAATATTTCCTTACTATTTTTCTCTCTATTCTTTACTGAAGAAGACTCGGTTTCGCATGAAGAAAATGCATGGGAAAAATACTTGTATGTGCGGTTATTTAAGGAGGGTAAAACCGAGGGTGAAAGCTAGGTCAAAGGGGTGATGGATGATGCATTCTCCCCCTAACGCCAAGTGTTCTACACGTGTGTTGAGGTGGGACATTTGAGCTTAGTCATAGCCGAGGTGGCGGCCATGCATGGGCTTAGTCATCGCCCGTGGCCCCGTGTCATGCCATGTGTCCAAGCAAGTTGGTGAGTCATAGGCACAACTTGCACCCAAACTCCTTCCTTTGAAAATTCCTCACGGAAACTTGAAAGCTTAGAGTTTGGATTACTTAACCTTGATCATAGGGCTTAAAGGATCATAAGCGCGTGCTTAAGGGGCTTGACGGTGCGCGCGATGCGCGGTGCGCGACAATGCACGCGGTGCGCGTTTGCGTGCGTGGTCGTATGCACAGCATGCGTATACGCGTGCGTGCTTAGTGCTCCTTAGTGCATTCATGACTTAATATGACTTTGACATTAAATTTCGAACATTCTTAATTTTGAATAATTAATCCTGATTAATAATGTCCGTTTATAAAATAAACGGTTCAAAAACTAATTATCAATTGGACTCGGTTAATAATTAACCGGATAAACTTTTCGACTTAACGTCGAACTTATTCGCTGAAAATGAACGGAATCAATAAAAGATACTTTCCTTTTAATACATTATTTCTATTAACAAGAAGTTTGGTTATTACAACTAGAACCCAGAATGGACCGGCGACCATTCCGAGCGGATACTGATAATACATACCTCAAACATGGTAGAATAATTATAATAAATGTAATACCCAGTCTGAGTCCCCACCTGAACTGTCTGACTGAAAAGGAAGTGCTGATAATCGTGTCCTGATGAAACTGAAAAATAATATAAATAATTACTAAATACTATGCCCAGACTGATGAAATAACTTTTTAATATGTTAATATGCTCTACTGGACTTAAACATGATATTCGGATTTAACCGGTATAACCGGAACCGACTAAAACTGAAGCTGAACTGACATGAATTTACTGAACTGAACTGGACACGGAATTTAACTGAAATTGGAACTTAAAACATGAACTGGGATTTAAATATTAAAATATGGTTCAAACCGGTCTAAACCGGATCTGAACCGGCTTGGCCAGACCGCCGGTCTGCTGAGGCCGATCGGTCGGCGGATGACTCGGCCCACGGCCTGCCGAGGCTGCGGGCGCGACTGTTGCCGGGACTGGACGTGGCATGGCGACTGCAGGGCCTGCTGAGGCCCTGGGCTATGGTGCTACGGCGTTTGGCCGCGGCTGACATGAACTAGGCTCGACTGGGTGCTACTAGACGCGCATGAAGGAATACCGGCGCTGCCAGACGCTATGTGCGTTGGCACCAAGCACCGCTGAACACTTCCGGGCGCTGACGTGCACCACAGAAGGTACTTGGACGTAGGAACGCGCACGCGGGTGCTGGCTAGACGTGACTGGCGCTGCGTGGGCGCTACTGGGTGTCGCCCCGCGGCGCTGGCTACTCGTGCGGCCCGCTTGGCCGCTGCCGAGACCACTGACGCGAGACGCTGCGCACTGGCATCATGGTTCGGCGTTGGCGTGCGCACGCGCATCGCCAACAATTACTTGATATGGGTACTGACCGCACACTGCCGGTACGCTACGGCCGCGACGTGCGGACAACGCGAGTACGGCCGACCCTCGTTGGTCGTCCAGCGAACTTCTCCGACAACTTTAACATGATTCAACATGATATAACATGATATTATTAAACATGATGACTTACTATAAAATTCATGAACTTTGTTCGAGGAACTTGAATTATATCGAGGGGTGCGCACCATGCACACGGTTTTGGCCTTAGGCCATTATCTCGTCTGAACATGAAATTTCCTCGAACAATATTAAGAAACTGCCCATTAATACTCTATTTAAAGTCTAATGAAACATGAATCGCTCGATTAAACTTGATCACATTGAAAGATAACTTAACATGATATATGGCAGTCCGTGGGCATGCGCGACATGCGCTGTCGACGACTTTGGGCAAATTCATGAACAAAGCAATTACTTGCGTTGACCAACATGAAGTAGCTGAACATAAAATGACTTATAATGACCATTTAACCATACATTACTCAAAGTTGCCGGATAAAAAGGATGTTAACTCGGTCACGGCCAATTCATGGCACAACCGAATATATCTCATAATTTTCATGAATTTTGGGATATGAGCTGAGCATTTCAAACTTGCCATGACCTTAATAACATGAAATGATAGTGAGGATAAGAATGCCTCTCGGCGTGTTCGGTGAATTTCCAAGAACGGTCGTGATTTTCATTCGGTTTCCCGTGTGTGCGTGAGTACTTTGCCGTGCACGAATATATGCTAATCTTATTTAAGGTATTATGAACTTGTAGCTTAGGTAATAAGCTCTTAAATCATCTCAACACTTAACTTATAGGGACGGTAAAAACTTAAGAAAATTTGATGAATGACTCGGCCAATGGCCGTGCGCCATTTGCCGCCTCCTCATGGCCTAAGGTGGCACATTTTGTGCTTAGTCACCAAAGTCTTGAGCTTAGTCATCCCAAACTTACCTCCAACTGCCCAGTGTTCTAGTAATGATAACATTACACGTGAAAGAAATGGGAGAGTTTGTTCTCGGCCATTAGTTGGCCTAAGCATGGCCTAAGCATGCTTATGGTGCACTAAGGGCGTGCTTATATGCGATTATCGTGTGATAAGCACAATAATGCTAATGCCATGCCTAAATCGTGCAAATAGCATGCGTTACTCGGCTAACACATGATTAATGGCCATATAAGGTTAGCATTAGCACATGAATAATGAACTTAAGCTCTGGAAAAATTGATTATCTAGAGATTAAACATGAATTAATTATCAGAAAATTATTCCGAACATGAACGTGATATTTGAAAATTAATTCGAATGTACTTGACTGAAATAAATAGTTCCGAACGATAACGCTTAATAAAATAAATATTTCAGAACTAAACATGATATTACATTAATAAACGTGACGGGATATTACAGAATGCCCAAACATCAAGAAGAAGAACAAAACGTTCAAGGTTACGTGGTCAGACTGCAGTGATGATATAGAGGATGAAGAATCAAAGAAGACTGAGAATTCCTATTATTCAAATAACTCTGCTAAATGTCTTCTTAAGGAATATAACTGTTTTACTTCCTCTGTTCATCTGACTGATGTTGAATCTAATGCAGGTTCTTACGCGAAAAATTTGAGCGAGGTGGACTCTGATGATTTCTCGGACCCAGCTGCTGAAAATCTTGTACTTCACAAGTACGCCATAGAAAAGTGTCTTAAGGAAAGGGAGATCATCAACAAGTACCAAGCTCAAAAACAGAAGATGAAGGCCATGGAACATCGATCTGTCGAACGTGAGAAGGAGATTGACTATCTTAGGGACGAGCTTCAAAAGATGAGATTAATTACTGTTGATTTTAACGAGAAACTCATCCAGTCCGATCTTCATATAGGAAAGCAAGACAAGGACCTTAACAGTTGCTTTGCAAAGCTCGCTTTGGTTGAGCATGGGGACAAACTCAACAAACAGGCAAGTGACGAACAAAACTTTACCATAGAATCCTTGCGTAATGAGTTGTTTGCTGTGCAGAGTCTTGTAGGTGAAAGAGAAACTGAAATAGTTGTTCTCAAAGAGGAACTCGGACGAGTCATGGAGGAACATATGACACTTCGAAGTCTTTGTTCTGCCCTGGAAAAAAGGCTCAGCAAGAATGAGGAAATTGTCAAACTGATCAACAAGCCAAGGTCATTATACGCTGAAGTGCAAAGATTGACTCAGCAGATTTGTTCATCCTACCAGAGTAAGAACTCCCACAACCAGAAACTTAAAGGTAAGGCTGGTGAATCAAGCTCTACACTGAGCAAGGTTGATCTGACATTTGTTAAAGAAGGTTACTCAATTGATGTCAAACATGGTAAGCCAAACTCTCCCAAAGCTCAGCACAAAAATTCCTGTAAGAACTTTATACCTGTTTGTCATTATTGTGGGATTCGCGGTCACATTCCCCCAAAGTGTTATAGAATGCATAATGATATTTATACGGGTCGAATTAATGACTGGAGTCCTCATGGTGTTCCCTTGAAAGCACCTAAGCTGGAAGTTGACTTAGTGAATCATGAACAAAAAAAGATTGGGTTCCCAAGGGATGTAAGAGCACTTGTCTGTCTTCTATAGTTTCTTTAAAATCCACGTCTAATTCTGACTGGTACTTTGATAGTGGATGCTCTCGTCACATGACAGGATTGAAATCCAACCTGACAAATATTATGCCTGTATCTTCTAGTTCGGTAACTTTTGGTGATGGAGCAAAAAATAAGGTTCTTGGAGTAGGATGTTTGAATGTACCTGGTTTTCCCAAACTCAAAAACGTCCTTTTGGTTTAAAATTTGAAAGCCAATCTTTTGAGTATAAGCCAATTATGTGACCAGGGGTTATATGTAAATTTCACTAAAATCGAGTGTCATGTGTCTGATCATGAAAACAAGCATGTTCTTACTGGTACTAGATCTACGGATAATTGTTATCTAGTGGAACTTGATTTAAAATGTAATAAATCCAGTGTAGACATGACAGAACTTTGGCATCAAAAGTTAGGCCACATAAACTATCCGCTTACTTGAACATTCCTCAACAGATGCGGTTCGAGGATTGCCCAAGCTAAAGAAATAAGAACCACGAGTCTGTGGATCGCGTCAAATGGGGAAACAAAAACGGGCCTCGCATAAGAGTCTGACCGAGGTTAGTACAAACCACATCATGGAGCTGATGCACATGGACTTGATGGGACCAATTCAGGTCGAAAGTTACAGTGGTAAGAAGTATATCCTTGTCTGTGTGGATGATTTCTCTAGATTCTCTTGGGTTGATTTCTTAAAGGATAAATCTGATAAACTTGATGTTTTTAAGAAACTCGTGTTAAAACTTGAGAATGAAAAACGAACTAACCTTGTTGCCATCAGAAGTGACCATGGTAAGGAATTTGAAAACCGTGGTTTTGAACTATTTTGTGAATCCCGTGGCATATTTCACCAGTTTTCTTCTCCAATTACCCCACAGCAGAATGGAATTGTGGAGCGTAAGAACAGGACCCTTCAGGAAATGGCAAGAGTGATGCTTGCATCACAAGGCATGTCCTTGAGATGGTGTGCCGAAGCAGTTAACACGGCGTGTTACATAACTAATCGTGTGTATTGCAGGAAAGGAACTGGCCGGACCTCGTATGAAATGTATAAAGGTAAAGCACCTAATGTGAAATATTTTCATGTGTTTGGTTGTCGGTGCTATATCTACAATGACAGAGAACATCTTGGTAAGTTTGAGTCCAAGAGTGATGTTGGTCAGTTCCTTGGCTATTCTACTAACAGCCGTGCATACCATGTGTATAATTTGCGTACTGAAGTGGTTATGGAGTTTATAAATGTTGTTTTTGATGATGCTTTTGAATGTGTGTTCTTACCTGATGTGTCAAATATTGATGTGTCCAATGGTAAGAAATTGCCTGATTCTGAAATTGAGAATGTGCTGAATGATGTTAAGTCGGAAATACTTGATTGTGATAAAAATGAGCATGGTAATGAATATAGTGTTCCAACTTCCTCCGGAAATCCTGCTGAATCAAGGCGAGATCCTCCTGCCAAGATTCATAAGAATCATCCTAAGGATCAAATCATAGGAGGAATCACTGAGCGTAATACTACAGGTGTGAAGCCTGATTTTCGTAAAATAGCTGGCTTCTGTCACTTTGCATGTTATGTGTCTAAGTTGGAACCGAAAAATGTCAAAGAGGCTTTATGTGATGATTTCTGAGTTCAAGCTATGCAAGAAGAACTAGAACAGTTTGTTAGGAACGATGTGTGGGAGCTTGTCCCTAGACCTTCTGATTCGAACGTCATTGGAACCAAATAGATTTTTAAAAATAAAACGGACGAATCATGAGAGATTACTAGGAACAAGGCTCGCCTTGTAGCTCAGGGGTACACTCAAGAGGAGGGTGTTGATTTTGATGAAACATTTGCCCATGTAGCTCGTTTAGAGTCTGTTAGGATGTTCTTGTCTATTGCGTGCTTACTTGGATTTGTCATTTACCAAATGGACGTGAAGTCCGCATTTTTGAATAGTTTTTTTAAAAAGGTTGCTTAACAGAAGGGTTTGTGGACCCTCATTATCCAGACCATGTGTATAAGTTAAAGAAGGCTTTGTACGGGCTTAAGCAAGCTCCGCGTGCCTGGTACGAACGCCTAACCCAATTTTTGGTCAAAATGGAATACTCTCGAGGGGGAGTTGATAAAACTCTCTTTGTGTGAAAATTTGACAAAGATATTATCATTGTACAGATCTATGTAAATGATATTATTTTTGGTTCTACCTCGAGAACGTGGGTGAATGAGTTTGTCAGTCACATGTCAAGAGAATTTGAGATAAGCATGGTTCGAGAGATGTCCTATTTTT